CTGTGGGTTCTTGTCATCACAAAGGCGCTGGGGAAGAGGGCAGTCATGCCTGCTGGCTGCCTACTGAACTCTACTCCTCCTGTGGCTGGCTCCTAGGGCCCTGGTGAGAAAGGACTGCTGTGACAAGTTATCACCAGCTAGTGACTCAGGACAATCGGTGCTCATGCTACTGAAAGCTGGAGTGTTAGCTACAGTGTGTGAGCCACGCTGCCCCAGAAGGCTCTGGAATGCTCCCTTCTACTGTCCTGGTAGCTGCAAGAAGTCTTTAGAGTTCCTGGCTTGTAGATGTGTCATGCAAGTCTCTGTATTCATGATTACATGGTTAATACCTGCCCTGTGTGTCTCTGTTCAAACTTCTCTTTACCAAGTAGGGTGCCAACTACCCAGACAGGGCCCATCTCAAGTTAGTAAGTGCTTGTCTGCACCGGCTGTACCTCCTTTTAGTTACTGAAGATGTGTGTCTTAGTTACTGGTCCATTGCTGTGAAGAGACATATGATCAAGGTAAGTTACAGAAGAATTTGTTGTGAGCTTACATTTTCAGAGAGTTAGAGTCCATGACCATCATGGCAGGGAGCATGGCAGGCAGATGCTGGAGCAGTAGCTGAGAGATTACATCCTTATCCACAAGCACAGGCAGAGAGAGCACACTAGAAATAGTGTGGACTTTTGAAGCCTCAAAGCCCACCCTGAGAGACACACCTCCCCCAACAAGGCCACACCTCCTAGTCCTTCTCAAACAGTTCTACCAACTTGAGACCAAGCACTCAAACATATAAAGTTTTGGGGGCTATTTCCATTCAAACCGACACATTCCATTTTCTGGCCCCATAGGCTTGTAGCCATATCATAATGCAAACATGCATTCAGTCCAATGTCAAAAGTACCCATTATTGAGGTTCGACTTAAGGTTATATGAGGATTTAATGAAATGTGACACAGCCATGGGAACATCCAATGTTGATATTTCTCAAGAAGTAAATTTAGAACACAGGAATGTCTGTGACCTTCCTCAGTTTCTAGAGAATGGTAAATGATGTTTCCATACCTCAGTTTTCTGTGCTTTATATAACCTTAACATGCTAAGCTGTAAGACAGGTTTCTCTGCAACTGTAAACTCACTGTTTTCAAAGGAGATGTAATAATAATGAAAAGGAGTCATGTCATGCGAATTGCACTCAAGTGCTTGGCTGCCTTGAGTCTCCTGGTTTCTCCACTTTGGTGGCAAGGCAACCTCTCCCACCACATTTTTTTCAGTCTCAGCAGTTTAAAAGTCCAAAGTTTCTTCTGAGACTCAAGCAGTCTCTCATATAACCCCCTGCACACTTCCAACATACAATAGCCCAGACTATACACGGCCATTCTAAAAGGAAGGGATGGGGGCATAGTGGGGAATCTGGATCAAAGCAAGATCAAAACCCAGGGGGCAAACTCCAAATCCTGTAAGTTTATGCCTGATGTCAAAGGCTTAGATGGCTCAGCCCTTCCAGCCACATTTCTCTCTCCTGGGCTGGTTCCACCCCCTGCATGCAGCTCTCCCTGGCCGACACCATGGCTTAGGCACCACCAACATCTTGTGGTCTCCAGACAGTTCAGGCTTCATCCTCACAGCCTCATGTGATAACCTCTCAGGGCTTCTATGCAGAAACTCCCCTGCATCCTTTCACAGAGGAAAATTCTACAACCCAATCGCTTATTCCTGTATCCTTCATGACTCTAAAGCCAGAACCACACAGCTGACACTGCCAAGTTCTGCTGCCTGCTTGGAATGGAATCTGGCCCTCTGTGAATTACATTTGCATAATCTTTGGGTTTTTTTTTTTTTTTTGGTGCTTTTTAGGAGCAGAAAACCCTTCAGGCCTCTTCCTTTCACAGGTTGCAGGATTATCTAGGTAGGGCCTCACCCTAAGGGTAGCACTTCCTTGATTCCATCCCTCCTTTTTTCTTTCAGCACAACCCATAGCTCCAACACTGAATTTCCTGATGCTCTTTTTCTCCTCAAACTCTACATTTTGTATTCCTTTTTGTCCTTTTTGCTCTTTTTCATTATAGATCTGCATAAGAGTGATCACTAACAACCATGGGATAGATCCAATATTGGGCTGTCTTGAAATCTTCTCTAACAATAAAAGTAGTCTGAAACTCTTCAATGTAGCCTCCAGAATGTTCTTAGGACAAGAGCAAAAATCAGCCACAATATCACAAGAATGGTCTCTAGTCCGGTTGCTGGTAATTGTTCCCCTCTGAAACCTCTTGAGCTGGGTCTCCATAGTCCATATTGTTCTTAACACTACTGACTACCAAGCTCCAGTATAAAAGCTAAAGTCAACCTGGAAGCCCCTACCTGTCCTAGGACCAGTAACTTTCTGGAATGCTGGGAATTATAGTTCCTAGAAAATAACAAAACCACAGGGAAGATGCAGCAGCCATATGGTTTTCTTCTTAAACGGGTCTTGTGACACTCACTAGGATTCCAGAGAGTGAACCTGACCAGAGTCCATCCTGGATAGTATTTAATTAAAGCTTACTTCAAATTGGCTCAAAATTGTAGAAGTGTTTTTTCTTTTGTTTCAGGATTAACATTTGGAGGCCCCCAGTGAGATAAGACGGACCATTCCACCCCAAATGCTCATGCATTTTACTTTAGAACTGGTGGGCTGCCCCAGTAGTGCACACTTTGGAATATTAATCCAAAACTCCACTCCCTCCTTGATCCCCACAGGGAATATCCAGGCTTGCGAACGGAGATAGCAAACATTTTTCGGTAAGGCATAGAAGACTTTTTAGCTTCCTACGATACTTTTCTGCTTGACTTCTGGATTTTGATTATGGGATACCCTGATCTGGGAATGGGAAGGATCTTATAAAGTCTAGGCACCCCCATTCCAGGCAAAGAGAGATATCCCACAGCCCGTTGGTCATATCTGGGGAGTTTCAGACAGAGTCACCAGGTTTTTCTCTTCTGACCTGCTATGAAAGCACCCTAGTGACACTGGGGGCTAGTATACTCAAGTATATCAGGGAAGCCTGGCACATGGGTGCTCATCAATGGGATTCCAACACCTGGACTACTTAACAAAACCAAGACATCCCAGGATACTGGGAGCCAAAGCTAGAGTTTGGAGAGGCCCAGTGCAGAGATATCAAACTGACCAGGGGTCGTGCAAAGAGACAGCTGAAACCTCTTATCTGTTAAATTTCTCTTAGTCTATGGGTGGACCTCTGAAGCAGAGGACATCAATTATCAAATGTCATTGTCTTATGTTTTCTGTTGTCATTTAGCTGTGTTTTTCTTTGTCGCTTTGACTCTGTGTCTTGTCTTGTGGATGTCCCTGTCCCTGTACAGAAGCCAGTGGCCAGCCCTGCTACAGTACCACTGTGCCAGTGGGGAACTGGATTCAGCAGCATGGGCTACCAAGGTGATCCCCCCTCCCCAATTACAACATTGGAGGAGGTAAGGAAAGTTTGTCTGTCTGTTTTGAATGTATGACTGTGGCCACTGCATGTTTGTTTCTGAGTGGTTTCCCTTGAAAGTGTGAGCTTACTTGTAGCATGAATTCTAATTGGTCTTAATAATAAAAACTCAGGAATCATATATAGGGGTTAATGCTGAAAGATCAGAGAGACCAAGGAGCAAACCACAGCCACTTCTTACCTGGCCAATTCCTTAGCCTGAAAGGGGTTCCTATCTCTATGAATCCTCGGACTGAATGGGTGAGAGATGCTGTCTCCACCTACCTTATATTCCTATTTCTACCTCCCTAGTGCTGGGATTAAAGGCGTGTGCTTCCCAAGTATTGGGATCAAAGGCATGAGATCCCAAGTGCTGGGATCAAAGGTGTGTGCCACCACTGCCTGGCCTGTATGGTTAACTAGTGGCTAGCTCCACACCTCTGGTCTTCAGGCAAGCTTTAGAGCACAAACAAAATATTACCACACTTACTGTGTCCTATGTTTCTTCATTATAGCGCCGTATTTGCTAGGCAGAGGGAAGATGTCCTGTGGCTTCACCATCATCTTGATTGAGGGCAACCACATGGTGTGGTCAATCAAGGGAGACAATAGGTCTCCAAACATACTTTTGAATTTGGGTCGATTTTTTTGTGTGGTAATTCCTGTCTTGTCTTGAAAACACAGTTTATGAAAAGTAGGATTTAAGAACAGTGCTTGTTTGATGAGGTATTAAAGGTGTACCTTCATGTGTTCATATACAGAATGCACCTTGCTGGCAGGCAAACTGTGTAACATAAGAATCACAAGTTGGCGTTGGTTTTAGACAAACTGAATTGTTTGCACTGTTGAAGTTTGGTTTTGCCCCAGCCCAGCCCCACTGCATTTCTTGGGGTACACTTGAGGTAGCACAGGAGCCACCAACTACTTGTCAAGATACCTACCCCGTAGTATCACTCCACTGACAGCTAGGAACACAGAGGCTCAGGGAGCGCCAACCAGGAACTACCCCAGCTCTGTGTTGCCCACAATAGCATCCATAACTATCTCCTTCCTCCAGCTGCCATCAGCTGGGAAAGAGACAAACACGACACACACTGTTCCTAACCAGACTTTATTTGGTGGCTGTGGGCCTAGCATGGTGCTGGGGACCTGGGCTCTACCCAAGCCTACATTGGGTACTACAGGGTCACAGCTCATACTAGATAGAAGGGCCTTCAAGGAGGAGGGAAGTAGAGAAAGAGGTCCATCCATCCGAGGCAGGTCCTGCTGGGCCTCAGCTGTTGGGAGTCAGTTAGGAGTTAGGCGGCCAGAGGCAGGCTGGGGTGGGACGCTGTTAGTTGAAGGCTGGACCGGGAAGCCATTCCTGCTAACTTTGGCCTCACCAGCACCCCGGCAGTACACTCTGCCAGGTCAGGTCGGGTGTGGGATGCCAGGGGAGGGACCTCCTCTGTGTCATAGCAGGGGGAAGTACATGTCCTTTTATTAGTATACGGAAAAGACAGCTGCGTACCAAATTCTCTAGAAAAGGGGTGTTGACCTTTACAAGAAGGGGGGGGACACTAGGCTCCTTAAGGGGGCCCCAGGAGGGGTCAGTCTCGGCCCAAAGTGCACCAGGCAGCTGGAAGCAGGAGAGAGAAGTAGTGCTTAGTGGCTGGGCTTGTGGGGATCAAAGCCCCTTCTGTGGATGCTGGGATGGCTGCAGGCAGGGGTGGGTAGAGCGGGTATGGCGAGGCCTTGAGCAGAGTTCCAGGCCAGGCTTTGCGACCCGGTGCTGCTCACTCAGGCACTGGGTGGGGGGTTGGGAGTCTTAGGTTCTCTCTGGGCAGGCACACTTCCTAAGTGTCTCACGTGAACCACCACATGAGCCACTGTTGCCCTGGCCTCACCCTGTCTCTGTCTACACACCAAGCCTTGGGTCAGAAGCATGAATCTGGACCAGGGTTCCTGGTGGTGAGTGAGCAAGTCTCTGTAGGGCTGGGACCCTGCATGCTGGCTGGTGCTGCTCAGAGACCTGGGACACCCCACCCCAGTGGCTGTTTTGTCTCTGGCCCCTCTACCTGGCACGGAGATCTGAGAGAGCGCCTCAGGCTGGCTCAGTGTGTCAACCTTGACATGTCGGAAGGCCTTGCACACAGGACTCTGCAGGTGCCTGCAAGCCAGAAGCATGGATTAGCTATGTCTTGGAGGAGGGGTGAAGGAAACAATGGATGTGGGCCCAGGTCTAGTCCTGCTCTGTCTGGGGAAGGGGCTGTGACCTTGTGAGCATCCATCCAGGAAGGCCTTTTGTTCTAGATTGCCCATGGGAACAATATCAGACCTCTAGCCCCATCTTTGCCCTCTGGATTAAAGCTGTAGCGACAGGGGAGGGACTGAATCCTGTGCAGATGACAGCAGCGCAGCCCCAGGAGGCTTGAGCCCCTGTGTCTGTGTCTGTGAGCCAGCCCTATGTGCTCACTCTTTACAGCTCTTGAGTCACAGTCCTGAGTATTCACTGTGGGGAAGAACAGGGACAAAAGTGACCCCCCCTCTGTCCGTCCTTCCTGTGCTGGGGTTATACATGGGAAACTAGAAACCTCTGCAGTACTGTGTCTGCATCTGAGGAGGTCAGTAAAATGCCTGGGCTATGCTCTGAACCAGCTCAGTAACCCCGCCCCCACCCTGACCCAGTACCTGAGGAAGCAGGCAGGTGCTGAGTGGCAGGGGGGCTGTGGGAAACTGAGTCCTTGGAGCAGAGATTTACATGCATGGTGCCATACAGAGACCCTGGGTCAGGGGTTTCACTAAGAACCCTGCCTGCTGCCTCTGGGTGAAAGGCACAAGCTAGCCAGGAAAGGAAGCTTGCCCGGATGTAGAGGTCTCTGTAACCAGAAGCCAGGCTCTTCACTGTCTTCCCCACCCCCTCTTCTGAAGGTCCTCAGGGTCAAGGGACAGGAACTTAGAGCCAGCCATCCCCCAGCTTACCATAGCCCCAACCCCCTGTCATGGGATCAGGACACGGCTGTACCTACCTCTTCCACTCTTCCTCTGTCTCCCAGAACTCATAGATGACGAAGGTGAGGCCATCTGCCATCCTCACCGCGGCGACACTGCAGGGAAGTGATACACACATCTGTGGCTGACAGTGGCTGCCCATTGCCCACAGATGCACACCACAGTCTCAACCTCTACCTTCCCCATTGGCCCTGCACAGGACAAAGGGGGCTGGAGACACTAGGGCTCCCTGCAGAGTGCAGTTTAGCCCACTTACAGGTGCTATTTTACTGACCACAATGACTCCAGGTCTCCAGGGGCAACCACAAGGCCATCTAGCACAGCACCAAGGCCCACAATGAGTATGATTTTAGGTGATTTAAGACATCTGGTTTGGGGGTTAAGAAGATGGCACAGTTGACACATGACTATGAAAACCTAAGTTCAACCTCTAGAATCCATGTGAAAAAACTGACTGAAGGTCCTATCTCAAGAAAACAATGTAAGGGCCAGTAAGATGGCTCAGCAGGTAAAGGTCCTTGAAACGTAGCCTGATGACCTGAGTTTGATTCCCCAGACCTACACAGTGGAGGAGAGGATCATCTCCTGCATGCTGTCCTCTGACTTTGTGCTGGCTAGTTTTTAAGTCAACTCGACACAAGCTGGAAAGGAGGGAAACTCAATTGAGAAAATGCCTCCAAAAGGTCTGACTGTAGGCAAGCCTGTAGGGAACTTTCTCATTTAGTAACTGATGTGAGAGGTCCCAGCCTACTGGGTGGTGTCAGTAGGTTCTATGAGAAAGCAGGCTTGGAAAGCCCTAAAGAGCAAGCCAGTAAACAGCATCCTTCCATGGCGTCTGCATCAGCTTCTGCCTCTAGGTTCCTGCCCTGATTGAGTTCCTGTCCTGATTTCCTTCAATGATGGACTGTGTTCCTCCCCAAGTTGCTTTTGGTCATGGTATTTCATTGCAGCAATAGAAACCCTGGCTAAGGCAGACTTCCACAAACACCCCCATTCCTCAAACCCTAGTACACACACACACACACACACACACACACACACACACACACACACACACAAGCTGAGTACTCAAGATTGACCTTTGCTCTAACAACCCCCCCCCCCGACATTTACACACAAAACACCTGCTTTTCAAACCACAGCACTCAGCCTGTGCCCAAGAAGCCCAGGTCTGGACTGAAATAGGACACTGAAACTCAGGGAAGACTATCCCAGACTGAATGACCTGAGCCCAGGTAAGTCTCTTGAATGACCTGGGATGTCACTCCATTTCAGATGGGGTAGTGATGTGAACTTGTGGGCTCTGGTGGAGTCAAGAGCCCACTCAGTACTGTCTCTGTCCCCTCCAGCTCCTCCTGGAGCCCAGATGCCTTTCTTTCCCATATGTGGCAGAAGTGTACATGAACCCCTCAAGGAGGTGTTTCTCATTAGGGTGAAGGCTATGCAAATTCCAAGTCAAGCCATTCATGAGAAGGGAGAGGATGTGACTCGTGCACCAGCCTCAGACTCTTGAGTGGATGAGCCTTAGCTGAGGGTTCTATGCCAGCCAGGCAGGTGCCTGCCCTAGTCTCTCTTTAGACACAGCACAGACAATTGGAATCATAGGAGCGTGGCTACTACAGGATGATGACAGCCAGCCAGGCGACAGCTTTGCCTCAGGAGGGGACTTCCGGCAGGAAGGCACAACAGAGCAGGCTGTGCTAGGGTCCCATCCTTTAAAAGGACTGGGATGGAGAGGAGCAACAGAACCGGGAATGCCCAGGTGAGGAAAGGGGGTGTCCAGACCACAGAGTGAAGTTCCCCTTCCCTCTCTTCCTGTAAGAACCATGGCAAGGGCTGTGATGTGGCTGAGAGGTGCCATGTGCCCAGCACCCACAAGAGATTTGGTTCAGTCCCAGCACAGCAAAGAAAAACAACCGTCTGAACACCACCTCACTGAGTCAGTCCTCAATGGGACCTGCAGACAGATACCATGGCACACCACAGGCACCAAGAAGTGGACATGACTTCCACAGTCAACCTGACTGTACTCTGGCCTCTCCCATGCAATTGGTGGGGTGATCCTTTATCAAGTCTCTCCGGAGGCTAAGGGCCTAGCCATCCCCTGCCTGACCTCTTTCCATCTTCCCTCCATCATCAGCCAGAGCAGGGCTCTTGTCCTCATCTGAATGTATGGCTTCTCCCTGCATCCATCAGCCTATCCTCCCACAGAAGACAGGACCAACCCAGGTCCTGATGATGCCATGCCAACACACAGCCTCTGACACCCTCCTTAGGCTACTTCCCCATCACTCTGTCTAGCCAAACCACCATCACCCTCTCTTGGGAGCTATGTGCAGACCCCTCACTGGAGGCCACAGCCATCTGCTTCACCTTGTTGAGCTGCACAGGGTTGGCAGGACAGGAGTGGGCAGGCGATGCCCTGCATTCTGGAAAACACACCTCTTGGAGGCTCAGCTTTTCCCCTTAATCAGTTAGGCTCTGTTGTGTGTGAGTAACAGTGGTCGCTCTGGGTGAGTGGAGCATGAACCAGCATGGTCTCAGCCCGCATTATTCTATTACCCTCCCAATACACTGTGCTTGATAGATGAGTGAGCCCAGGCCTGGGAGTGAACCCACCCACCACCTCCTACAGCTGGAATGAGGTTGAGCCTCACTTTCTTAGCTTCCCTGTCGTGTGCCTCCCCTAGGGGAGGGCTGGCTCTGCCAGGTCCATCCCCCCACCCCACCCCCCTGCCAGCTAGAGGCCCTGGTCACCACCCCCCTCCCAGCTTTGCTCACAGCTTTGTCACTTACTGGAAGCAGTTCCTTTCTCCAGCAGTGCCCCGGAGGTACTGTCGCAAGGAGTCCAAGAACTCGCTCAGCTGCTCAGGGCACACGGCCATTTCTTGCCGGACCAGCTGCAGGTGCTGTGGGCCCAAGTGAGAGTGAACATGTGTGCCTGGCCCTTCCCCAGCCAGAGTCCAAATCCCAGCGACCCACACCTTGCTTCTGAGAGGTCCAGACAATAGGGGCGAAATAGAACCACCATGCCTTTTATTCTTACACGTGCTAATCAGCTAAAGGAGGACAGGAACAACTGGGTGAAGTCCCTGAGGGGCCCCCACAAACAGGGCAGTGCGAGTGCTGCAGGGACCCCTACCCAGAGGCATAGCTGGTGACCGGCAGGCTGCCTTTCTGACCAAACGCAGTCTGGTGACAGAGCCGGCCAGATGTTTGCTCTGCTCTAAGCCAGATGCTTTTTTATCAGAGTCCTGGAGCCTCGGTTCACCATGCCCCTTGGGAAGGGGAAGGTGGGGAAGGGTGGCCAGAGAGGTGGAGATATGACACTCCTCAGAGGGCTGGAGGGACAGGGTAGAGGAGGGGCGGAGAGGGCCTTACCATGTCAGTGCCTTCTTCATCCGAGAGGCGCTGCTGCAGGTCAAACCAGAGGGTCTAGAACAAAGCACAGTGGTGCCTGTGGCGCAGGCCACCTCCAGGGAGGCTCCCAAGGCCCCACCCAGAGCATGGGGGTACCTGGAACCCCCAGAGTCACTGCCCCTGTCCCAATGTGCCAGGGGTTCTGAGATCTCCCAGGGCTGGCTTTGCTCCCAGACACAGAGCAGCATCAGGGGGACCCTGGAGCCAGCGAGTCAGAGAAATGGCAGAGAGTCCAGACCTCTGAAGCACTAGGAGTCTAAGAGACCAAATTGGGCTCCCAAGAAACTTAGAGTATGTGGCTGGGGCAGGGAAATCTTAAGACGGTAACAGGCACTCAGGGGGCCAGCCCCAAAAATCAGGATACTGTTTTTACCAAGATTTCATATGAGCCCTAAGATCAATAATTTGCTGACCTCACCTGTAGCAGTGACCTGGGTTCCCCATGAACCCATGGTCTGTGTGGGATGGCCTGCATGATGCTCCCTCTAAGCCCCACAAAAAGCTTTTTGTATAAATCTCATTTCCCAGCCTGCTGTGTGATTCAGGAATGCAGAAGCCATGCCAGCTCTGTGGGTTACCAGTACCTGGCACCCAAGACATGGCCACCACACACTGATGCTCAGTCATCGCTATGTCACAGCACAGAACCATGGGCTCTAAATGGTCCCCAGATGAGTGAAGCATTAGGGCCTGGGTTTAAATCTATGCCTCATTTATTCTTCCTACAATGTGGGTACCCCACAATCACAGCCTCTGTGCCAATCTGCCCTGCCTGAAGACAGGAGGTGCCAACTGGCCACACATAAATGAGCAAGAGCCCCACCCACTCTTAAAGAAAACAGCGGAGGGTGGGTGGTGGTTCTCAAGTGTGAATGAAGGCCTGCCTCTGAATCACACCTCTAGCCTCCACTGACTTCTTGCCCATACATCGCAAGAAAGTGCCAAGTAGATAAGATGTCTTCGCAGGTTCAAGCCTGTTTCTGCCATTTAACAGGCACACAGGCAGCTCCAGGAGGGCTGGGCCCCCCTCCCTGCCCCCGAGCCCTTAGGCCTCTCCACAGTCAGATGGCCAGCCCAGCAGTACCAGACCTGCCACCAAGGACCTCCATCCTCCCTGCTCTCCAGGCACAGTTAGAGGCCTTGCCTGGCTAGCTGGGGACCGACCCTGGAGCTGGCTTGAATCTGCCCATTCTAGTGGCTTAGGCCAATCAGAGACCTTGGAGGACCCCGCCCCATCTCTAGGATGCCTAGGTGCTCCTGGTTACCAGCAAGCCTGGTTGTTAGGGCGACCAGGATACTAAAAATAAGCTTCAAAGAGCCTCCCTCCTGGGGCCCCCACTGAGTTGTTATGACAACCGGGCACAAGGTCCCCACCACGCTGCTCTCACCCCAGGCAGGGCAGCAGGCTTAAAAGGGGAGTGGGAGGGGAACCCCACTTCAGTCACAGCCCTGCAGCTGAAGCCACCTTCAGACTGCTTCCCAGTGAGAAGGCCCTTGCTTCATGCCCATGAGTCCCTCAGAACAAAGCCCCAACCCAGCTGAGTACCTGAGCTCCTTGCAAAAGAAATACAGAAAAACAGAAAAAATGTTGCCTCAGTCTCATGGCTCCTAGACACCTGTCACTCAGTGTAAGCATGTGTGAGGGAGCCCTGTGCACATGTGCGGGGAATTTGGTAAAGGATGGCAACAGTGCTAACATGGCTAAGGTTAAACGCTAATGCGGACATCAGACTCTGACCTGAGCCACCTGCACCTTGGTGAGGAACACTGATCTCCTGGATGTCTCTGCCTCTGTCCTGATCTCAACATCCCCAGCAACCAAGCTCTAAAGTGGATAGGTGAAAGGTGAAACAGGTTTGGGGTGGGCCTACCTTGCTTTCCAGTCTCCCAATCAGCTCTGCCAACCGGCTTATCTGGCTCTCTAGCCCCTCCTCCTTTGGCTCCCCTGTGGCTGAAAAAGAAAGAGACCCTGGTGGTGGGCAGAGCCATCCCGAGGAGGCAGAGCCCCAACACCAGGCTAGGCCCTAGTGCAGCTTCCTTGGGTCCCCTTGGAGAATAGTGCCCACTGATGCTTTCTTACCCACAGACAGGCTCTTCCCTGGCTCTGGGGGAACAAGCTTGTGGTTGGGGATGTAGGGAGGACTGGGGCTTCCATAGTGGCTCTCGGTGATGCCGTGGCTGGGTTTGCAGTGCTCCTGTCTGCAGTGTGCATAGGAGAAACAAAGAGTTAATGAGGGCAGCTGTAGGACCATGGTCACCTCTATGACCTTCATCATGCACTTAGGAAGCACTGACCATGCCCTGAAATGTGCACAGACCTGCTCTGTGGGACCTTGTCCGTAGGATAGTCAGTGGCCTTGATTTTCACACAGGAGGAAATCACCATGAGGCAGGTGACTTGGCTAAGGCCATGTGGTCAGCTGGGGCATACCTCCAAGCCAGGACTCTTGAGGCCATGCCCTATGTCCCATAGGCTCATTTCCATGGCCCCTGGGGTAAAGCCGGGCCAGGAACCTATCTGACTGACCTCATAGCTCATAGTTTCCAGCCAGTGCAGGCTGAGCCCAGGCTGGGCCCAGGCTGGGGACACACAGTATGTCTTCTTCCTTCCCTGTCTCAGTGGGGGCCACTGTGCTGTGGAGCCACTTCTGGGGAGGAAGATTTGGGTTTCTACCAGTGAGACACCCCACCCCCAATAAGGCAGCAAAAAAATATTCTGAACGTAGCCAGAGCCAGAGTTCACCTCTTGTCCCCATGTGCCCTTCCCCATACACACAACTCACCTGGCACCCTTCAGCCCTAGCACAGCATCAGGCACCCAGTAGGGTCTCCAAAAATGCAGGGTGAACAGCCAATTCCTTATGCACAGGTGGGCTCGCAAGACTTACTACAGACATAGCAGTCAACGAGATGTGTGGCTGACACCCCCATCCCATTTTGAATTGGTCTCCTGTGGCCCCTGCAAGCTTGGCAAGACTTTCTCCTGTGTTGAGATAGCAGGCTCAGCTCCCCCAGAGAGACAAGGCTATGGGAGGCTTTGAGCTGTCAATCACACACTCATATCTACACCAGTAACAAATTCAGTGTGTCCCTCAGACCATGAAGAGTTGAGTGGGAGGCCCCTCAAGCAGCTTCTCCTGGAACACAGCACCCTTGGGGGCTACTCCAGCGTGGGGACACAGGGTTGTGCAAGGGAACTCAGGACTTGTAGTCAACAGTGATAGATGTGGGGCAGTTTGAGGTGTCTGTGGGCATGGAACAGATTTCCCATCAAGACACGCCACCCACTCCTTCCACTGACATCCCAGAGTTATCCCCTCCCAGTGGGGGCAGGCGGGTGGAACCATGCATGGAGCCTAGAGCGTAGGAAGGCAGCCAGGAAAATTGCCCAAGGCTGCTATCTGTCTACAGTAGGAGGAAAGAAAAGTTTGATTAAGATGATAATAATAAATCAATAAAGGGAAAGCTGTCTGTTCCCAGAATGGTGGCTGTTGACACTGGGCACTTGGATTGCAAGGCTGCCCACATGGACAGTCATGAACTTTATTTTTCAAGTGCTGACAGTGAATACATTTGGTAATGGTGTCATTAAGAACCCCTCACAATCTGATTGAGGTCCTCACTGACCAAGCAGCACCCACTCAAACCCCACCCCACAGCAAAAAAAACATCCTGCTCCCACTGTGCCCCTCTGCCAGGCACCCTGAAGTTGTACACAGATAAAGCCAAGGTTGGATAGCCCAGGCATATGGGCTCCTTGGCAGTGCCCACCTGTGTGTGGGTCCCATTTCCCCTTTTCTGCTCTGAACAGACAGGAGTTTGCCTAGCAAGCTATAGGCAACATGTGGGTGGCTCAAAGCTGAGCAGGCCCTTCTTAGCTAGAAAGACTGAAGTATCCCAGTTCAGGCAGCAGGCATACAGCACCCTCAGTGCCCATGAGAAACCCCCATGCTTGCCCATGTACCCAGAGACCAAAGGAGCAGCCCCTTGAACTCCATCCCTCTCCAGCATCTCCCTCAGCATTAGTTTGGCCCTACCCTGCCTTCAGTAGCTCCTTCCACCTCTACAGCTCTTCAGGTAACAAAGAAGGAACCCTTGGGATCCAGAGGGCTCCTGGCAAGAACACACCTCCCTCTGGATACTCCACTTATACCGTGTGGCATTTATGTCCCCATCCTGTGGCCAGATACCACTTCCCAAATTGATTTCCAGGGTTCAGAATCAGGCTAGGCAGCAGGCCAGTATTGTGGGAACAAGAAGAACTGTGGCAAGATCTCTGAGTTCCAGGAGTGCATGTCCCATACCAGCAAGGACCTAGCACCCATGTAAGTCTCACAACTCAGGTACTAGGTCCTAAGTGTGTCCTCATATTACAGCTGGAGAGATTGGGGGGAGTGTCAGGGGGTACAGCAACTTAACCAAGGTCACCAAGATTTGAGATTGCTGTCAGGTGGCTGTAAGTACCCCCATATGTCCCACTGACGTACCGGATCTGGCTGGTCTGTTCCTCAATGGCTTCCACAGCACTTTCCACTGAGCTGAGCAGTGACTGGATCTGATTGGCTGTCTCCTTCAGAAGGAAGCGGGTCACAAACTGGTCCACATTGCTTCCACCTTCGTACACCTGGGGTCAGTGGGAGAGAACCTAGATGTGGGCTGGCATAGGGGCTGGAGACACCTTGGGCTAATGTCTCTGCTTTGTGGGGCCTTGTACTGCCTCCTGCATCTTAGAGGCTGCAGAGCACATAAAGCAGAACCTCAGGCTTCATTCGGACCAACTCCCCAAACCCAGCCAGCGGTAGTACATTCTTCCATCTTACCCATCAGGGACTAGGCGAGTATAAGATGCTTGGCACAGTGTCCATCTCATGACAGACAGTAAAGTGCAGCTGCTGTGATAAAGGTGGTGGATGGTAAAGGTGGTGGTGATAACAATGTTGGCAATGGTGTTGGTGAACTGATGATAGCAAGGGCAATGTTGATGGTGAAGACAGAAATGGAGGAATTGGCGACTGATGACAATGATGACAGCAATGGAAATGTTGGCAACGACAATTATCAAGGCGATGGTGGTGGTGGTGATAGTGTTAATAGTGGTGATGCTGGTGATGGTGATGATAATTGATGTAATGACGGTGATAATGTCAGCAATCACTGAGTAGCATTTCTGCTTCTGCAGTAGAGAGAAAGCAACAGGGAAGAAGGCCTCAGACTCTGCTCCCTTCTTTCTTCTACAAGAATTCTTTGTGCACTAAGTCTTTGTGCCACTATTCAGACAACTAACTGAAGAGAATCAGTGCAGGCAAGAAGGTTAAAATTGTTCCCAAAGGAATACTCTGAAGCCTGTGCTCAGAAGTGGGGGCTCAGAAGTAGGAGGAGCAGAGATGTGGATAGGTGCACATGCGGAGGAGCAAGGTCTGGAGAGAGGAGGATGCTGCATGGTGAGCAGCAGAGCCTCTCATTCTGGTAAGACTTCAGTACCGATGTCCCTCGTGGAGATCCCTGCCTCTGCAGAAGATTGCAGAGAAGAAGGGAGAAGTTTGGATTCTTAGGGTCAACAGGGGTGCAGAGGCAACCACTGCCAGGGAGGGTGGGTGGACCTCAACTGCTGAGACTTCATCCTCTGGAATGACCCCTCCTCTGTACACTGGAACTCTGCCCAGTCCCTGGCAAAGCAGGGGAAAACAAGGCTCTCAAGAAAAGCAAATTAAACTATCCATCACTCTGACTGGGAATTAATTAGCAATAATTACACACTGGGAAACACGGCTGGAAGACAGAGAGCCTGAGGAAGAAGGCGTGGGGGATGGCACAGGGGAGGGGACATGAAGGTGGACATTCTGTCCCGAGGCCTGGCTTGGAGCCACTGCTGGCAGACGCTGGTGGAGAAGACATCCTAGGCAGCCCTGACTGTCTTTCTAACAACCTGATGCCACCCATGGGCTAGAGAGCAATAGACTGACAACTGAATACCTCCAAATGACTCAATTATTTGTTTGTTTTGACCATGGTATGAACAAACAAATAATTGAGTAAGTAAGTACACCCCCTCTCCCTAAAAAAAGGCTGCAGGACAGGAGTAGGATGTGTGTTCACAATGATCAGACCAGGGACTGACAAGGCAATCAGTAAATGAAGAAAATGTGAAATCCAAAGACAGGCCACCTTCTGCAGGGGACAGCAGCAATTGAGAAGCTACCCTTTTCTCCCCTACCAAGAGCCAAGAGCAGCTTCTGCAGAGGAGGGCCAGAGGGGCTGTGACAAGCCATTTGTAGTTGTTGGGAGTCACCTAGAGTCCTGCAGAGCATTTGATTTGCCAGGTGACTGTGTACAGAACAATCAATTGAGAATCTCCTTGGTGGCTTGAGCCACCGAGAAAGGTCCTTTAAAATGGAAGCTGTGTGAGCAAGGACTTCCAAGGTAAAGAAAGAAAAATGTTAGCCACTAATTGTTCACTTGCTTATTTGTGTGTGCATGTGTATGTGTGCATGTGTGTGCTTGTATAGAGATCAGAGGACAACCTGTAGACATCCATTTTCACCTTCCACTATGTGGGTCCTTGGGATTGGACTCAGGTCATTAAGTTTCTGTGACAAGCTGAGCCGTCTCAATGATTAGATTAAGTCAAACTATTGGTACTACATTTCCCCATCTCAGAATTCTCTCATCTCCAAAGTGAACAGGAAATGTTTTTAATGATCTAAGAATAAAATTAGGATTGAGGATGTTTACAGAGATTTTTCTTTGTGTGTGTGTGTGTGTGTGTGTGTGTGTGTGTGTGTGTGTGTGTGTGTGTTGAGTCAGGGTCTCATTGTGTAGTCCTAACTGTCCTGGAACTAGCTCTGTAGACCAGGCTGGCCTTGAACTCATAGAGATCCACCTCCCTCCTGAGTATCGGGATTAAATGACTTCACCACCATGCCTGGCTTCAGAAGCCATTAATATGATGAAAATGAACATTTTTATCTTCTAAGTCATAGTCAATGAAGCATAGCAGACCATCAAAAGGAAGAGTGTAAAATAGTTGGAGAAAGAATGAAACAAACGAGAGCCGCCAGCCTGGATGGAGCTCTCATGATGAAGAAAGGCAGCCACAGTCTCCCGGGTGCAGACACCATTCTGGAGCTGATTAAACTTGGTGCAGCCGGGCCGCATCCCATCAGAGCTTTGCAGACAGAAGCCAGTACAGAGAGGTTCTGCAATCACACTCGATCAGGCAGATAGGGCCAGCTGCCATACTGCCAGGGTGCTAGAGCTTAAATGAGAAAACACGGCAAGAGATAAGGAGGCTGAGGACACAATGTGCACCAGGCTGTTATTTCATCCTCGGGGCTGGTGCTGAGGCTGCTGTGAGCCTTGCTAAGCTTGGTGACAGGGACACAGCTGTCACATAAAGCAAGTCAGCTAAGTATGAAGAGGTTTTGACTCTTCATATTCTTTTTTGAGACAGGGTCCCTGGCTGGCTTGGAACTCGTAACAATCCTCCTGCCTCAGCCTGGTCAGTAGCTAGAGTGACAGGTGTGTATCACCACATTCAACTTGTTCATTTTCTTTTTAAGATTTCTTTTTATTTTTAAGTGTGTTCAGGTGCCTGTGGTGGCCAGAAGAGGTTGTGAGCAGGGACTGAATTCACAACAGGCACTTGTAACCTCTGAGAGAGCCATCTCTTGTTCATATTTTTTAGGGAAGTAAGCCTCCAGTTCTGATCAGAGCCCCTTAAGAATAAAGAGTGAACAGATCTGTATGCACTGGGTGAGAGTCATAGTATGATATGTATATTATCTATAATATGAATATATTTATAACAATAAAATCTTAGAAATTGACTAATATGCCTTGTCATAAATGAAAAATTAGTAAATTCAAGCAGGAATATTTAAAGAAACACTCTCAGCCAGGCACAGCAGGGCACACTTTGTGCTGGCTAATTTTATGTCAGCTTGACACAGGTTAGCGTCATCTGAGAGGAGGGAGCATCAATTAAGAAAATGACTCCTTAAGATCTGACTTCAGGCAAGCCTATAGGCAATTTCTTAATTAGTGGTCAATGGGGGAGGGTCCAGCACACTGTGGGTGATGCCACACCTGGGCTGGTGGGCCTGGGTTCTATAAGAAAGCAGACTGAGAAAGTCAGTAAGCAGCACCCTCCTTGGCCTCTGTATCAGCTCCTGCTTCCAGGTTCCTGCCCTGTTTGAGTTCCTGTCCTGACTTCCTTCAATAACAGACTACAGTGTGGAAGTATAAGCCAGATAAACCTTTTCCTCCCCAACTTGCTTTGGTCATGATGCTTCATTACAGCAATAGAAGCACTAAGACATACCACTAATTCCAGTACTTGGGAACAGAGGCAGGTGGATGTTTGTGAGTTCAAGGCCATCCTAAGGATTCACAGTAAGACCCTGTCTGAAAATATAAATAAATAAATAGACACACTCAAAAAATACAGGGAACGTGTTAAAAGGCAGCAAATAAAAAAGATGGCTCAGTGGTTAAGAGCACTGGCTGCTCTTCCAGAGGACCTGGGTTCAACTCCCAGCACCCACATGGTGGTTCACAACCATTAGTAATTCTGGTTTCAGGGAATCTGATACCCTCTTCTGGCTTCTGAGGGCACTTAAAAAAATGTTAAAGAATTAAAGAACTACCCATTAAAAAGTTGCAAGAATCACCCACCCAAACCCGTCCCGATCCTGGAGGTTCTGGGTGAACAGTGGATCAGTATGGGAAGTTAGCTCTCATGTCAAACAGGGAAAAGGGCCAGCAAGATGGTTCAGCAGGCAAGGAAACTAATGGCCAATTCTGACAACCTGAGTTTAATCCCCAGGACCCATGGTTGTGGAAAGATAGCAACAACACACACAAACACATGCATACATGCATGCACACACATATGTTCACACATGTTCGTTGACTTCTCCAAAGCCAGTTGTAACATCACTGAGGTTTCAATTTAGCATGTGCAGATCAGACTGGCTTCATGTTTTTAAAGAGTGTGTTCCAGCTGCATGCATATCCCAACAAAGGCAGGACAGCTATTTTCAGTTCTGATGTTCCAAACTCTCCAAATGTCCCTCCCAGACACCATTAAAGACAAAGTGTTATGCAAACAAAAGACATGTTGGGGGAGGAAACTTACTGGTCACCCTCTTTATCACAATACAGTGAATGCAAGAGACAGTTTGGAAAACGCTGGGGACAAAGACACTGTATGGTACCATCTGTGGTGGCCTTGAAAATACCAAAGGTCAGTGTGTTGGATTTCAGAATTTCATATTAGACAAAGCATTCCATTTTCACAAAGGAAAAAAAAAAAGACCAAGGTAAGGATGAACCTAAGCCAACAGAGGACAAGAATTATAATTGAAGCATAAATAAGTTAGAAAACATAGCATGCATATTAAATAAGTGTCCAGGGATGCCTATGAGACATAGCTAGTTAAAATAGACAATACTGTCAAATATAACATTTTTAAAAATGTTTTTTAAATAGGAAGCAGTTGGAAGTGGCACATGCTTCTAATTCCAGTACTGAGGAGGCTGAGGCAGGAGGGTGACAAGTTAAAAGACCAGCCTAGTCTATACAGTAAGATCCTGTGTCAACAAACAAAATGAAAGAAGGAAGAAAAGGAGAGAGGGCAGGAGGGAGGGACGTAGAGGGAAGAGAGGGAGGGAGGAGAGAAACCCTGGGAGCTGTATCTGAAGTGCTCTGAGACTGTGACAGCCCTGATCTTATAACCACCTAAGGACTACTGATTGTTCTTTTCTGCATGAAGTATCTGTCTTGGTCAACAGTGGTTTAGACTTTCAAAAATAATCATGAGAACATACTATGCATAATTGGTCATGAAAGAGAATATGTCTGGGTCTGTTAAAGAATATACTAGGGGGCTGGAGAGATGGCTTAGCAGTTAAGAGAACTGACTGCTCTTCTAGAGGACTGGGGGTTCAATTCCCAGCACCCACATAGCAGCTCACGAATGGTCTGTAATTCCAGTTTTAGCAGGCAAAACACTAATGCACATGAAATAAAATAAGCAAATTATTTTTTTAAACAAGAATATACTAAAGTGAACACATTAAAAAGGAAATGACTAAAATTAGGGTTTGCTATAAACTACCTATTAGAGGGGCTGGAGAAATGGCTCAGTGTTTAAGAGCTCTGGCAAAGGACCTGGGGTTTAATTCACAGCACCTACATGGTGGCTCACAAAAATCTGTGACTCAGGTTCCAGGGGACCCAATGCCATCTTCCGGCTACTGTGAGCTCCAGGCACACACATGGTGCACAGATGTAGATGCAAGTAAAATACCTCACACATAAAACAATAAGACCTACGACAATAATCCTTAACCTTTTAGTCCCTTGACCCAAGGGTTCTGGATACTTTACAATTTTCAATAGAAAAACCACTTCCATACATCTTAGGGATGGTGAATCATACAGGAGATGCCCAAGTCACATGATTTGCTCTCCAGGCCATCCTCCCACTCCAACTCCCAATGCAGTGAGAAGATACTCAGTAGGTGACAGAACTGAGAGATGATTAAAGAATGACACTCTGATGGAAGTTTATCATAGAACACCGATTATTCAATATGAGAGAATCTAAAGATAGAATCCACCCATCGACAGCTGAAGCAAAATCATCAGATCATTAAAAAAATAAATAAATAAATAAGCCCATAGGCATATGAGTAGATTCCTTGCCATCACCCAAGACAAGACTGAACAAAGGGGAAGGCGAAACATATTTTTGCACAGGCTGAGCTGAAGATGTTTCTAAAATAAGAGTTGGCATTAATATTGCAATTAGTGGAAAGATGCTCGAGATGTACTTGAAAGGCTGGGACCTTGCATCATTGTGATGTGTTAGGATCTGGGGAATATGCCACATGAAACAGAGTTAGCAGAGGAGCCCATATTTGTCACCATGCAGGAGACTAACCCAGCTAACCACAAGAGAGACTACTGCGTCACAAAATCAAGTAGTCAGCTTCGATCACAAATCACAAGGTGTCTTCAGGTTTCTTTTGCTGTGATGAAACACCATAACTAAAGCAAATTGGGGGTGGGAGGCAAGGGTTTATTTCAGCATACACATCCACATCACAGTCCATGGAGAGAAGTCAGGGCAGAAACCCAGGCAGGAATTGATGCAGAGGTCATGGAGGGGTGATGCTTCCTGGCTTGCTCCCTATGGCTTATTCAGCCTGCTTTCCTATAGCACCCAAGACCACCAGTCCAGAGGTGGCACCACCCAAAATGAGCTGTACTTTCCGACAGCAACCATCAGTCCAGAAACACACACCACAGGCTCGTTCAACAGGCCAATCTGTTGGGGGGATTTTCTTAATCGAGATTACTCTAGCTTATGTCGAGCTGACATAAAAGCTACCAGCACACAAGGAAAGCATTCAAGATCACCAGCAAGCTGTCTGTCTACAAACAGGCCAGCTAGGAGATACCAAAGAAGGAAAATAGTAGTCATCTACCATCATCAGGCCCTGCAAGGATGCTCCAGCATCACCTGAAACCGCCACGACCTCCTGAGGCTACATGTGCCATCCTTGTGGCAGCATGGTTAAGGCTGGGCTGAGCCTCCTGGAGGCTCCATGCTCTACAGCTTTACTGGGGCAGGGCTCTGTTCCTAGATGGGTGGGAAAGGGTCAAGGGGTGGGCTGCCGCACAATCCATCTTCCCCTCCCTCTTACAGCCAGGCTTGCTGTACTTGCCTGGCACACCCTGCTAATGTTCCAGCCACCATGGGACACTGGGGGCTACAGCAAAACTGCAATGATGAACATCCCCTCACCCCCTGAGAGTGACTCTCAAACAGCAAGACTCCTGACAGTGCAATGCCAGGATAAGCAGAAGGGGGGGGCAAGCTCGGCCATGTTTGGGTGCGCGACAAGAAGGGGCCCTCAGTCCGTTGCAGGCAGGACACAGGCTGCATGTGAGGAACTGAGGGAGCTGGTGTCACCTATGTAGCCCTGAGCTCAGCAGTTTAGTGTTCAGTTCAGTCAAGGTCTGGAAGATGGACACTCCCACTTCACAGACAGCAAAGGTGAGGCTCCAGTCCTTCAACCCGGTTACTGGCCAGATCGGCTTGGACTTCCTCTACTGCATATGTGCAAGCCATTCAGGGGACACCAGTCCATTCCTGGGTCAAGCTCAGACAGATAAAACCTAAATCCCCACTTCCAGATCCCTGGGTCTGCACTGCCCCTGAAGGAGCCAATCACTCAGGATTCCTGCCCTCACCAGGTATCCAGGCCAGGACCAGGCTGGACCCTGGGAAAGGCCCTCACACTCTGACACACACCTCCTGGACAGGGCCGTCCACCAAGGTCCCCCTTTCCCTTTCACTATGTGGCTTGTCTTGGCTCCTCAAGGAGCCCTGCCAACATTTGTCACCACAGATCCAGACACCCTGGAACAACACTCAGAAAAACCTAGACTCAACTGGCGTTCAGGCCCTAGCTTCTTGAATGCCCTCCCCACACCCACTGACCTTCTTGGTGTAGCCCATGGCTTTCAGGACTGAGTGGTTCAAAGTCTCCAGGGAGGCCAGGACATCCTCATAGTCTCCCATGTGGTCCACAAAGTAATCTGGGGAAGGAGGTTGCAAGGGTCAGGGGTCACAGAGGATTCCATCCTCTCCCTGGGGCCCTCCCACCAGCCCCACCTAGGTTCATATGGATCTGCCCTCCTCTGGGTATTCCTGCCCACACCGTGGTGGCTGTAGATCCAGGTACTTACCACACAATTCCTTGGTGTCCACATGGCTGTGGAAGGAGGAAGGGAGAGAGGGAAGAAATGATGGAGAGAGAGAGAGAGAGAGAGAGAGAGAGTCAGCAGGCCAGTTTCTGACCCTTAAAGTACTTGCTGTGGCCCCTTCTGCATGCTCATCATTGGTATGGTGAACTCTGTTTCAAAGAAGAGGCTGGAGCGGGAGCCACCTGCCTGCCCACCATGTTCTGTCCCCTTTCCTCACTTTGAGACAAGGTTACACTATATAATCCGGGCTGGCCTTGAACTCTCATGCTCTTCATGCCTCAGCCTCCTGAGTGTTGTGGTTACAGACCTATGGCACCACACCTGGCTGCTCAATATTCCTCTCAAAGCCTGTGGGCCATATCATGAGTAGATGTGACCAATGAGCTGAGCCTGGGGGTGGGGGGGGGAAAGGGCTGTAGGGTGAGCTGTGATTATCACAGGTTGTCAAAATAATGCCCCTGTCCTTCTTGGAGCTCTTAGGGCCCTGGGTCAGCCTCCATTCTAGCCCTGGGTTTCACTCCTTACATCAAAGCAGAGAAGATTCTGGTTCTTGCTCAGGGTTGGGAGAGATGTGTGAAGGCATCACTGCCAGATGCTGCAGCAGAGGGACCAGGGACCAGGAAGTGGCTGTGGCAGTTCTGATGCCTTCTCCTTTCTGCGTCTATCCTGTACCCCACCTTAGGCCTGTTTTTGGTGGACATCAAGAGCATATGTGTGGGTAAACATTTTCTGTAGATTCCAAGGCTGGTGATGGCTTTGGAATTTCTGACATTCTGGAATGCTGCTTCTGATGTGTGAGCTGTCTGAGTCAGAAGGCATGCTTACAACTCAAGGGGCTAATGTTTGTAGTTCCTACTTCAGGAGATACTGGGGCAAAGAATCCACCCCGTCCTCCAGGTCAACCTCTTAAAGCAGAGCCTCTTCTTCCTCTTCCTCACTAGCTGACACCTGAGGCTCCTAGTGACATTGTATAACTCAGTGGGTGCCCAGGAGGCTGCAGAGAAGCTGTGAGACTTCCTGTGGCCTGGAGACAGTGTCCCCTGCTCTGCTATTGGGACAGAAGTCACTCCTACACAGCGACATCCTCAGAAAATGACATCCTGTCAGGTCTCCAGCCTTGATTTCAAGCTACCACTTTACTATGACCCTGCAAACTGGTTTGGTAAGTAACCATGTGCCAGAATCACTAGTCTTGAGCCACCCCCCACCCAACCCCACAGTGATCCAACCTGCCCTAGAACTCCCAGAAGCTTCAGTCCTCACCTCAGTGGGGCAGAGGAAGGTGGCCAGGTAGCTCTTACCCACCCAGGCAGAATTCAGGAGCAATGTACAAAGATGGGTGAAGGGCCCGTGAGCGTGGGCAGTGAACACCTATGCTGGCTGGCTCTGGGGGCCAGGCTGAGCTGCAGGTCTGTCATGACTGGGTTACAGAAAAGGGTCAAATTGCTCCAAGGTCAGAAGTGAGGTTCATGTTAGAGTTCAGATTCATATGCATCAGGGGGACAGGGTCTTAGAAAGCAGCAGGATCTTAGGGTAGCACTGGAATCAGAACTGATATAGCAGAATCACTGCCAACATTCCATCAGTGTTGTGTGTATTGCATCAGGCCCAGGTCTCTCCCTGCTTGGCTAAGGTGGCTCAGAAAGGACAAACTTTGTGGCAATCACACACACAGGAGGGCCAGACAGGTCTGACTTTTGGATTAGTGAGTTGGGGGAGTTCCAAGCCTCTTGCTCTTAAACAGAGCCTTGTCATTATGGAGAAGGGGGGGAGCATATACATCCCCAGGGTGCCCCATGGTAGCCTGGGCTCACTTGGTGTTGTCGGAGTCAATGGTGTGGAAGAGGTCCTCCAGCTCCTTCTCATTGAGGACTCCATCTGCGAAGAAGAGTTGAAATTCCTCCAGGGACAGCTTCCCATCATCTGCAGTGGACAGGCAAGGAAGCAGCTGTTGTCTCAGAGAGAAGAACACATGGTGGACCACAGCCTATTTCCAGAACCACTGTCTCAGCGGACAAAGTCCCAGTTGTCAAACTAATCCCAAGTGAACAGAGACAACAGAAGCTGGTTTCTGGGGACCAGACAAATACCTTGCGTGCTCTTTCAGGGAACCTTCCCTTCTGCATCTCCCTCACTCATCGGACTCTGACTGTTTAACCTGACATTGTCCTTCCTATGGTTATCACTCCCAACCCAGTCCCAGGTCCTAGCTCTGGGAAAGGAAACAGTCCCTCTATTGGATCCTACAAGGCATTAGTAGTCTGAGCTCAGACCTTCAGTCTAGCTTGGGGCAGGACTTCATGCCACATGGTAGGTGCCAACACAGGCCCCTACCCTTTTGGCAAGGGGCAGTCAATAGCTCCATCTTTCATGGAGTAACTGGGCTGCATGGAAAAGCTGAAACCAATACTATACTCAATGAATGTGTACTATGATTGATTAGTCATGTCTGCCCATGCACAGCATAGGCCCTGTTTTCCTTCTGACTGTTTCCACCTGCTTGTCATGGACGATACTTCAGTGTCCTCTGTACCCAGAGAGAACAGGAAGCAAGAGGACAGAGTGTGCGGATCCTCTGATCAGAAGCCTTCTGACATTTACCTTGGGTGGTAGCTACAAGCCTAATGAGCACCTATGAGCTATTAAGGGGAAAATATCTTCCACTTGCCCTCTGGTCCAATTAGAGAAGATAAATTGTTCTAGAGCTTCATCACCTCAGCCAGCAACCCAAGTGGGGTTGTTTGCAGGTGGCACTACTAATGAGCAGGAGCCCAGCCTGCTGCAGTGACCTTTCAAAAAAGCAAGAGCCTATGAGCCTCATCCCTGGAGGGAAATGCTGGCTGGTCCTCACTCCTCTGCCAGCTGTCAATGCGGTCTTCCAGGGTCTTACCCTGGGATGTCAGCCAGGCCTCTCATTCTAGCCTTCCCCTGGAGATTGGCTATCTCATGTCCACCAGAGTCAAAGCTAGTCCTTATCATGAGAGCCTCCCAGAGACATACAGCCTTGTTCTCATGAGGGAAGGCACCTTGTACATACTGGCAGGACCCGCTGTGCTTTGGGCACAGTGAACTTACAAGAGAAGACAAGTCCAAAATCCCAACCTATGGGAGTGGTGGGGAGTCAGGAGGGTGTAGTGTAAGGCTCAGTGCAGGCTGACTCTCCTGAGGCCTGGGTTGGGGACAGGGCTCTATCCCTGGGTGGTAAAGGCTCTACACAAAGCTACCACATCAGTACCATTTGATTTCCCTATATTCCCATTTTCCATGTGGAATCTGCAGGTGGTCCTTCACCTGGAGGCCTGGGAGGATACAAATCATCCCTAGGACAGGCCCAGAGAGGATAACACTCCTCTGCAATGGTTATAGCCCAAGCGTGTTCCCCTGCCCTCTGATATCACAAAGAGCTCTATTCCACCCCACCAACCACACAGGACAGTCAACAATGGCCCCCAGGAATGACAGAGGAGTTAGACAAAGCCAGAGCTGCCTTGAATTCAAGCCCACTTGGGAAGGGAACAAGGGCCTCTGTGACAGGCAAGGGCCTCATGAGTACTTCCTTCATGGGTGAACACACCACTCTCTGGTTCTTTTTTGAAGAGTCTTTAGGTCACCCACATTTCTTTACCTCACCCCAAAACTCAGGGCAGCACACAGGACAGCTGTTACTGCCCCAGTTTATAGAAGGGGAAACTGAGGCACAGACCAGCAGCGAGAGTTGGCCTCTGGACTTCTTGTATTCTTTATCTTCAGGTTCATAGTTGTCCATATCCCCACCCCTAACTGTTTCTCTGGAAACATCAGGACAGGGAGTGTGGGCAGTGGAGCACCTGGACAGAAACTTACCGTTTTTATCCGCACGGCGGAAAATCTGCAGAGAGGAGACCTGGAGTCAGTCCTGAGCTGAATGTGGGCAGGTGCCCTCAGCAGCCTCTTGACCAAGCTGAGATCCATCCCTCTCCCAGGAGCAGCTGGGGTGAGGCTTGGAAGCCCGGACTTCCCCAGGAGACCCCAAGGCTGGACCCAGGATAGAGAGACTACAGCAGGCAGAGGCCCTCCCCACACTACTTCAGAAGCCACCACTCCCTCTCCCTCTGCTCTGCCAGCCTGCCCACGGCTGCTGACAGACACACACATTCCTGCTGCACACTCACGCACACCCACGTGTATCTCTGCAGGTGTACATACACTCATTCCTCTAGACTCCCCCATTGCTGAGCACACAGCTGCACCCAGCCATGCTCAGAAACCCATGAAAGCTCCGTGCCTTCCCACCATTTGCTTTTCAGAACCCACTCCCCCTTGCTCTGGCTTGCCTGAGTCCCTTCTGAAGGAGGTGATCTTGAAGCCTGGTGACAAGACCAGCCCACAGGAAGTATGGCATCATTATGAGATAGGGGAGAGGCAGGCAGGAATGTTCTGGTTGCAACTAGCAGGGATGGGATGGGGAACAGCCCAAATCTGGACCCTGAACTTTAAGACAAAGTCACTCCATGATTTGCTGACATCTGAATTCCTCAAGGTCATTTGATAACAGGTGCTTGGTGACCAGGGTCAAAAGGCTGTTTCTGATTATTGCAGGGCACTTCCAAAAGCCGTTCAGCCCAGCCCATAACCCAGGCAGGTGGATTAGCAGCTCTGTCAGACAAGGTGTCTGCTAAGACCCCCTAACTCACAGAGGGATTTGATGTCTAACCCTGAACCTACTCAATCAGGCTTGCCTTTTAACCAGCTCCCTGTGGGGGCTGATGTCCCAGCACGGTGATGTCTGAGATGATCCTGGATCCTGGAGGAACTGGCTTCCTTTATCCAGAAGGAAACTTCCAGCCCTCCCTGCCCTCCACCCCCATACTCTTTGGGTTTTTCCAGACTCAGGAAGATCTGATAGGGATCTGTTAGGCCAGGCAGGAAGTCTCATCCCCTTGAGTCCAAGGATGGGTGGCTCTGCTCACCTGCACCTCACAAGCAATAGCACAAGGGAAATGTGTACTCTCTGGGTACTCTCAGACCCCAAAAGGCCTAGGTGTAGAGATGACTAGGTTGATGTGCCACCAAATGACACCAGGAAAGGTGGCTCCTGGAACCAGCGTGAGACACCGTCCCCCTGTGCTTGCTCCACTTCACAGATGAAGAAATAGAGAGGCTCAGCCAGCAAACACAGAGGGAAGGGCTGGACAGGGCTCCCCTGAAAGAGGGCGAGCTGCCACCTCCACTCTGGACTCTGCCTCAATCCGTGTGTGTGTGTGTGTGTGTGTGTGTGTGTGTGTGTGTGTGTGTTCATAGAGGCACTAGGACACCCGTCTCTGAAACCCTCCTGCCCAGGCATACTCATGGGCTCTGAGATCTAGCAAGAGAAGCAAAGTGGGGATAGGATTTCTAGTCCCCTGACACTTGTAGGGGTGTGTGGCGCGCGCACACACACACACACACACACACACACACACACACACACGTGCACTTACACACTCAAAAACACCTTGATTTTCCTAGAACCTCATAACATGTAAAGGCACCTCCTCAGACCAGTTCCATCCTCTAGAAACCCCTCCACCGCCAGGCCGCCAGCCCTCTCCGCTCATGCGACTCCCCCACTTTGCAGCAGGGAAGGAGCTAGAAGGTGCTTGGAAGCTAAGTGGGGTGAGTGAGGAGTGAGTATGGGGTCCAAGAGTCAGAAGGAAAGTACAGTACCAGAGAGTGAAGGACAACAAATAGCTCCGGGCAGAGCTGGGGGAGGGGTGAGGCCCCCTGAATCTAAGCAATGGTTCTGGTTTTATGCAAAGGGAGTGGGTGGGGAAGGGGCTTCACTCGCAAAGTGGCACAACACAGAGGGTGAGGGGGGATTGGTGCTCAGCTTCCTTAGCAGAGAGTGAAGGGGTGGTTGAGGGGCTGTGTGTGGTCTCAGAGAAGTAACACTGCAGGGAAGAATCCCAGATAGAGAGCAGGGGTCTGGAGGTGCCCAGGGGCTCTTGTCCCAGTCGTAGGGATTCAAGTGAGAGGGTTTGGTTAGGACCAAAGAGCGGAATAGTGGCCAGACTTACTTAGGGCAGCTCTAGGGATCCAGGCTATGGGATACGGGGGTGGGGAAGATGAGGTGCAGGAATGTAAAGGGAGTGGATGTAGGGGGTCGTGGAACTCCAGGGGGGACAGGCTCCCCATCCGCGATGAGAGAGGAATAGGGTCCCAGCTGAGGGATAAATGGAAGCGGGAATATGGAGGGATGGGACTGGAAGAGGCTCCTCCTGGTCCGGATGAGGGACTGGGGGCTCGAGGTTCCCACTCGGAGGAGGGTCCCGGCTATGAGATATGGGGATACAAGAAAGTGGATGAAAAGGGTGGCGGTGAGGATCATACAGTCTGGGTGGAGTTGAGGGTTCTTGGGGGGGTCTCTGTGGGAGAAAGGGGTCCCAGCTATGGGATGTAGAAATGTGGGAATGAGGGAAAGTGTAGGGTGGGAATGGAGAGGATAGTGCGATCTGCATTGGGGGACATGCGTTTCAGCGGCAATGAGAATTGCGGGTTTGCGCTTGGGGTCTCCGCATCGAGGAGGGTCCCAGCTAAGGGTTGCGGGGATGCGGGAACGTGCAGAATGGAGGAGAGGGTCCTCAGGTCCCAGGTGCAGACTGGCACCCAGCCGAGCTGGGCGGAGGGTCCGGCGCATACTCACGTCCAGGATGACAGCCGTGCCCCCGCGTGGCGCGGCGGGCCCAGGGTTGGGGTCCGCGACGGGAATGTCGGGGACGAGCGGTGCGCGGGGCTCGCCCATCCTGGCGCCCACCCAGCGCAGCAGCCCGCCCAGCGCGCGGCCCTGCGGCGGCGGCTCCCGGAGCAGCCTGTGCGCGCCGGCCCTGCACAGGCGCGCCGCCCGCTCGCACATCTCGCCCGCCGACCCCCGCCCGGCCGCGCCCCCGCGCGCCCCCTGCCCGCGCCCGCCCGCGCGCGCCGCTCCCGCCGCCGGCCCCGCGGCCCGGACACCGCGGGGACCGCCAGTGCCGGGTGGTAGTGGGGGGGTTCCCCGGACCCCGAGCCACGTGCTCCTCGCCCGCCGCCCCCACCCCGCCGGCCAAGAGCGGAGGCAGGGGACTGCCCGCGGGGGTGCGGGGTCCGGCGGCCAGACCCTGGCACGGTCACAGAAGGGGATGGCCTCGTGCACACAGGATTGCGGACGGGTGTGGAAGAGGGTGGGGGCCCCCGGGATTGTGCCCCGGTCCCCACCAGGGTCCCGCTGACCCCGGGTCCCCTCCCCCGTGGTGCTAGTGTCCGGCGAGCCCTGAGCGCCCTCTGCCGGCTGGTCCTCCCCGCGTCCCTTTCTCCCCTCCTCCACCGGTGGACGCCAGTTACCCTGAAGGCAGAGCGAGATGTGGAGAATTGTGCAAGTGATTCAGACTCAAGAGACCTGAATAGGGGGCCCAGGGTTGGACACCAGTCTGCACAAAGGTCCTGAGGCAGGTAACAGGGACTTGGAGACTGACGAACAGACCTGGGGACTATAGGGTGGACAGGGCTGCAGCAGGCTTCTGAAAACGTCATTCCCTGCCCAGACTCTCCAGTGTCCACAACTGCTCCACCCTGGACCCCCATCCCTTGTTCTCATCCAGGGGCCCAGTATGAGGTCTGTTTGCCCAACCACTCTCCAAGCACAGATTTCTCAGGCATAGTGGAGGCACTGTTGGTTTTATTATGGACCTGATTCTGAAAGGTTCCACCTGGAGTCCTCCTAGTTGGGCACTCAGCTGGCCCACATCCAGCACACACTGACAGCTTCAAGGGGGCCCAGGCCCAGGTGTCTCCAGCCTATGGATACTGCTCTCATCTTGGGCCTTGACTAGCCTGAGGATGGGGTAGCCTGTGTTCCCCATGCCTCTGGGCCAGACAGTCCATCCATGGGGCTCAAGTCTTCATCTCCTGCTGGGGAGACTGGTCCTCACATGGGAAGTCTTTAGATGGGCTCATGTCCAACTGGGCCATGATGAGCCCCTCCTCTTCAGGGCCTGGTGTCAGGGCATCTCCTGATGTTAAGGTGGTTTCCTGGTCTCCTTCCTCAGCAGGGAGCTGGCAGCAGCCAAGGCCCCACCCTGGACGAACCTCACAAAGTTGTCCCCAGCCAGCGGCCCCAGGGCATACAGGCCATCCTGGTGAGTGCTCTCATGGGTGAAGGGGTCCACATCAATGGGATTCCTCTTGGGGCTCAGTGGCTGATCTGGGTCTATGACCAAGTCAGCACCTGCCCTGGGGAGGTAGGAGAGGTTGGGGTGGGATCCAATGAGGACCAGTACCATGGAGACCCCAAAGAGCTGCTGGCCCCCTTGTGGGTCCTGGAACACTGCCTGGTGGTCCTCCTTGAAGAACAGCGGCCGGTGCTCAGGGAGGCTTCGGTAGCCCTCATAGGGGCTGGGTGACAAGATGGATTGATCACGCATCATCTGGTGTACCTTGTGGTATTCAGGGTATAGCATCTTGGGCAGCTGGTTGAACACCAGGCCAGGGTCATGGACAGACCGACGGAAGGCATGGATCACCTGGATGTTGTAGTGGCGAGCAAAGAGGACAGCATCGGCTGCAGACAGCCCAGCGCCCACAATCAGCACCGGGTCTGAGTTTGGGTTCACAGTGCCTGCCCGCAGGGCTGCCTCCAGGGCTGACAGCTCATGGTGCACGAAGGGCAGGGTCTCCCCTGGGATGCCTAGCCGGGCTGGGCTGTCAAAGGTGCCCGTGGCCAGGACAACATTACGGGCCCACAGTGAGAAGGGCTGGTGACTCTTGTCCTTAGCAGTTAAGTAACCTTTCACTAGGAAGAGGGGGTGGGGTGCTTGGGCTTCAGGGCTGCCATGCTCAGACTCTGCCTGCTCCACGGCAGTGACTACAGCACCAGACACAAAGTTGTGACTTAGATCCTTCTTGGTTACGTAGTCCCTGTAGTAGTGGGCGATGTCACCCGCTGTAGCTCTGCTGTTGCGGAGACCTCTGAGGAGGAAACAGATGTGGGAGCTGGGTGTCAGAGACAGGCCCGGAGGTAGGCAATGCCAGTGGTGGCGGCACTCCTAGCTGAGGCCAGGCTTCACTGTCACTGCGTAAAGTGGGGCTAACACAGGGAGCCTGAAACGCCCTGTGCCTCAGTTTCCCTACTTGTGAGGCAGGGTGGTGAGTGTGTCAAGAACATCCCACGAGGCCTTGGGAGATTCTACAAGGTTGGGTGCAAACCAAGTGCCTAGACGGGAACTTGAGCATGGTAGTGACATGTCTGGACTGGCCAGCCAGTGATGTCATTACCCCAATGGATAATAACAGTCCAAAATCTAGTGACTACCAGCACTCAGGAGACTGAGGCAGGAGGATTACCAGTTTAAGGCCAGCCTTGCATGGCAAGACCCTGCCTCAAAAACTAAAAAATAAAACATAGACCCCAAAGGTCTATGTAAATGTAGTAAGATCTCCCATCTATACAGTTCAGAATGAGGCCAAGGGTCTATACAGCTAAAGTGAAGAGCTGGGCTGAACTGAAGGAGGGGGAACGAGGGGGGAGTGGAGGGCAGTGGGGTGCTGGGCAGCAGCCTCTGAATCTGGCCTTGAGTGCCATGGCAAGGTGCTCCTCTGGTGCTCAGGGCTTCCCTACCCTTTCCTATAAGTCACATCTTCCCCATCCCCGTACCCCCCAGCTGAGGACTGAACTCAGGGCCTTGTGCATGCTAGGCCAGTGCGCTACCACTGAGCCTAATCCCCAACACTCAACCGGTGAGTCACATTCTGATTAGTGTGAACTTTAAAATATCCCATTGAAGCCCTTAGCAGGTCCTGGGCCACAAGGAAAGGCACAGGGGGATGCACCATCATTTCTGCTGCCATTTGCATTGTATCTTCCCTTTCCAGGGACAGTGACTACAGGGTCTGTGGTGCTGGTAGGGCCATGGCTTTGCATAACCTCTGACCTCCCTGAACTTATTGTATGACTCCACATGACTGCAGTTACCCAGTGCAGGCACGTATGACCAAGGGTGAATCAAAGGCCAGGATTCACCTAGGCCACCCAGGAGCTTGGAATTTGTTTCTGTCTGTCATTCCCCTCTCCTGTTTTTCTTTGTTTTGTTTTGTGAAAACTGACAACTGTCCTAAGAGGCTACCCACAGGGTTGTTTCTCACAATGACACACAGAAGAGAGGCAAGTGGCTGGCAGTGGATCACTATTGCTGACCAGGGGCATGGCCTCTCTGGGAATATTACAAAACCATGTAAAGGGAAGGCTACAAGCACTGTAGCTTCACCATAAAATAATTCTGACAGGTGTTATGCATCAAAGGCAAGAGAAGCATATGTTCTTGTCATTCACAAGCCTGACATCCCTCCTCATCTGCAGGGAGAGTCCACCACAGCTAGAACTAGAGAGGCCATCTGTATCTGTTAGTAGGGGAGTCTCCTCTACCCGCCCAGCCTTCTGGGGCCCCTTACCTGCATTTCTTCCGCATCCAGTCCTTAACCTGTAGGTCTGGGAGACTCATCCACTGGCCTTGGCTCAGGGTCACCATGGAACCTTCAATGGACTGCAGAGAAAGTTGTTCTCAGGCCCAGCCAGGACACATAGCACCCCTCCCCAGGGCTGAGACAGGAGACACGGGAAGAGAAGAAAAGGAGATAAGGGGAGAACAGGGGTGGCTCCAAGATGACACTCACATGCCAGGCGCCCCCAGGGAGGTTCTGCCCCAGGACAAGGTGGGGGACAGCACGCTCCTTCTGCCGCTTCCAGGTGAGTACGGAGTCCATGCTGCCTCCAAAATCTGTGTCGGGGCGCAGGAGGGCATCAAAGAGCAGGGCCACAGGGCTCTGGCTTCGGCCTTCAAGGCCTTCAGAAAGGTACTCCAGATCCTGAAGAAGGTAAACGGGTCATATGGGACCTCCAAAGGGTAGCAGAGTCCCACTTGGAGGCTGAGGGAAACTGGTTACACAGACACCTCTATGCTGGGTATTTTTGGGGACTGTCACTGTGGTCCTTCTGGTAGCCCAAGGACCCCAGTGAGTGTTCTGAGAGGGAACCCTTCATTGAGAACCACATAGACTGCTGACATGGTATCACTGGTCTCAGAAAACCAGCCAAGCGGCTCAGGCCCTGTTTTATGGTTGGTTTTTTAGGCTTCTCTGTTATGTGCTTGGTCTTCCAGGGACCCCTAGCTCTTCCCTAGGAGAATACCCCTCCCACACTCATGTGTCAGACTCACCTGGTCCAGGATGGAGACCCCTGGAGCCTCAGCCAGCTTTCTCTGCAGCAGGGGATGCGGATGGATGGTGCCTGGCTTCACGTAGGGGATGTGGCCAGACAGCAGGTAGGACAGGCAGATACCAGAGGGACCATTGCCTGCAGAGACAGGATGGGGGGTCAGGGCGAGTTGGCTTGGCTGGCTGCTCTTTCAATATGTGAAACATGTTTCTGTGTCAGATGCCATGTGTAATAATAAACAAGAAATAAACTAATGAGCAATGGTCAAAGGCTTCCTGTGTGTGGGTCCTATGTGAAAGGTTTCTAAGCACACTTCTGCAATGATGTCAGTGAGGAAATGGGCACAGAGAGGTTAAGTAAGTGGCCTATGCTCACACAGCTGACAAAAGCTAAGCAGGGCTTCACACTCACAGAGACAGGAGACAGACCCTATAGCCATGATGCAAGCCTGAAACTTCGGAGGCTGAGGCAGAAGGATCTGAAGTTCAAGGCCAGCCTGGGCAACTTAGTGAGCCCCAAAAAGTAAAAGGAGAATGGAGGTGTGGTCCAGAGGCAGAATGATAGCCTAAGCCAGGAGGGCTGTGACAATGGTCCATCAGTGGGTTGGACTGCTCCAAGCCCTGTGTGTGTGGGGTGATGGCTGTTTCTGAGTCTGAGTGGACCTAAACTCCTCCTAGCTGGATCAGAGCTTCCTCTGCTGGTCTATAATCTCTCCCCTGTTCTTATTGCCTTTCATCTGTTTTTTACTTTTTTTTTTTTCAAGACAGGGTTTCTCTGTGTAGTTTTGTAGATCAGGCTGGCCTCACACTCACAGATCCACCTGCCTCTGCCTCCCCAGTGCTGGGATTAAGGGTGTGTGCCACCACCGCCCAGCAATCTGTTTTTACTTTTAAAATGTCCATTCACCTGATGCTTTCTCAGTCTAGTAGAACAGAGACAGGAACCATGGGCCCTATCTTTGTGTTCCCCTGTGGGCATCTAGCAGTTGTGGACATAGTGCTAGCCCCATGGTAAGCACACCAACTTCATTTAAAGACAGCCACCTAGAGGCCAGCCTCAGCCTTGCAGGCCTCAGACCCAGAGGTCCCCAGAGCACCAGTGTACCCCGCCAGTGTGACACTTACCAATGATGACCACTGGGAGGGGCTCTGAGCTGCTGGCCCTGAGGGAGTCACGCCTCCAGGAGCTCATAGCTGGGGTTGGAGTTCAGCTTGAGGCTGGCAGCTGACCTGGAGCAGAGCAAAGGGAAGCCCATATGCTTAGGTGGGGGCAGGGACTACACAGCCACTTCTCAGCTCCATCCAGGCACTCAATGCTGAGTGTAGGACCCCGGGGGCAGCCTCATCTTTCCTTCCTCCCCTCTCATATTCTCTGCATCCAACATGCCCATCTCCAGCCACATGGGGCATCTGTCCTCCTCCCTAGCTGCCTGGGGACCAGGAGCCAATATCTCTACTGAGTCTTATGCTATCTCTTCCTACTTCATCTCAGGGAGTGGACTCCATGCCCAGTAAGGGGGTGGGGGAGAGTACCAGAAGACATCTTTGGTAGCTACCACGCCACTACCGCACTGGCCTACACAGTAGCTTCCTTACTGTTTACACTGGCTCATTCCCAGACCTGGAGCTTCTGTAGGCTGTGAAAGTAGGAGAATATTCTGGAACACCTGCTTGGGTGGATTTACTGCTAGGAAGGCCTTGCCTGACTTCTTGCTCAGGGTGGGACTGGACCTTAGACTTGAGGAGATTCTGACAGCTTAGATTTGGGAAAATGCCAGCAAGCCCAGGGTTCTGGAGTTCCTGCGCGCCCCCTGCTGGTCACAATGCCTAATTGCTCAAAGCATCGGAGCTGCTTTCCCAGACTGGCAGCAGAGGTGGAGTAGTAGCCTCCCCCAGGAGCCACAACCCCGTGTCTATAACCAGGGGCCATAAACAATGTTGGACCGTGAAGGAAAGTTGGGTAGTAGGGGTGATGAGCTCCTCCAGCGGCCTGTCTCTCCCACACTGACCCTGAGTGAAAGCTGCTGGCAGGACTTTACCCCAAGGCTAACTGATGATTAAGATCCTGAGCTATCCTTCAGATCTCTGAGAGCTGCAAATTCACCCAGTAACAGCACACTGGTCTGAGGTCACATCCCCTCTAACAGAGGAGGTGGAAATCTGAGGGTTGTATATGAACTCTCTGGTTTGCAAAAGTGGCCAGCCAATGACGCATCTTTACGCAAATCCTTCACGAGCCAACAAAACACAGCTGAGGCTGAGTGTGACTTGTATGCTGGGACACAAACACCAGCATCTCCCATCAGGCAGGTCCAACCAGTTAGACAGGACAACTGACCTCACAGCAGCTACTGTTGGCATTCAGTGCTCCCCTGCTGGTGGCTGTATAAGGGTGAGCCCCACAAGGGGAGGAGTAGCCCACCAGTGGGACATGCTCCTGCACCTCACTGTGGCCTCATGGGTGGTCTCAAAAACCATCTTCCCGACTTCAGTTGTGCTCAGGTTTGGGACAGCTTCCCTGACTGTAAAGAAGGTGCCCTGAGTCCCCAGCACCCTCTGAGTCCTCCTCCTCCTTCCTGGGAGAGTGCAGGTGGCTTCCTGCTGATATTAGAAACCACATTGCCTTCCCATACAGGGCTGAAGAGGATACTGGAGTAGCATGACTGATGGCAATAACTGTAGCAGCCAATGCCAGGCATTGCCAAACTTCTGTAGAGCTGTTGCCACTCCAGGTCCGAACCCTCTACACATACCAGTTTATGCTTATACTATTTATCTGGTGTAAAAGTACTCTTTTGGTCACTCAAAATTTACAGAAAAAGAGACTGAGGCTGGAGAGCTTTGCTTCAAGGAACCTGTCCTACATCTAGTCAGCTGAACTGGACTTGAGCTGGGCCACCCCATTCCAGAACCCTTCTCTGTGCTCCTGCAGATGTAGGGGCCAGAGGCTCATGCAGTGTGTGGTTGTATGCAATGGCCTGCCGCAGGGCCAGTCACTGACTAAAAGGTGCAGCCATGCTCAGAGCCTTGGGGATTCAGGCTGCAGTTCCTGAATGGCAGTCCCCTCCCCAGTGCATGTCAAAGGGCCTGGGGTTTCTCCCTCCTATCTTCACTATCCCCAGGAACAGCAGCAATGAAGTGTAACACCCTGGCTGGGTGTTTCCTATGCATTGTCTCCTTTAATTCTCATGACAACCCACTTCTCATATGAGGAGACTGAGGCTCCGGGGGAAAGCCATGCCCCCAAAGTTTCAGAGCAGGCAGTTAACAGAACTGAAATTTGATCCCTGTGGGTGGAGTCCTACTAGACATTCCAACACCCCTGAAAAGAACATGCCAACCATCCCAGAGACTTGAGGTGCCAACCCTTTCCCTCACTGTCATACCCCAGCATACAGCTCCTCACTGGTGCCAGCAGGAGGCCCTGTCTACACAGGCCAGCTCCAAGGAGATACCCAAGTTGCTTCACAGGAAGTAGGATGGGCTAATACACTGGAGGACTTTGCACTCCAAGACCAGGCCCCTTTCCCAGCACAGCTGGCAGAGGCTACACCTGGAGCGGCTGGATGCCATACAAATGAGGTCACCACCAGGCCTGGACCCCTGGAGGTCACATCCTCCAAGCTGCTCACCCTCACAACCACGCACAAATACTGCTACACATTTATAAAACAAAACTCCATTCTCGGGCTATAGTTTGTAGAGGTGGAATAAGCTGCCTGGTTTGAGACTGGGTCCAGGCTGGCTTTAAACTCCATCAAGCCTCTGAGGGCCTCGAACTCTTGATCCTCCTACCTGAACCTCCCAAGTGCTCAGATTACAGGAGTGAGCCCCTCACCCCACATTAATGTGACGGTGTCTTTCTGAGACCCTCTGGCCAGGCAATGGTGACAGAAAAGTTAATACTAAGTTGCTAGTGTGAGGGGCCAGGGAGATGGCTCAGAGGGTACAATGCTTGTCTCACAGCATGAGGAGCTGGGTTAGGATTCCTGATGACCCTGTGAAAAGCAGATGTCTACAATCCCAGATCTGGAGGGAGACACCCTGGAGATTATAGGAGAGCCAGGGAAATGGCCCAGCAGGTAACTTGTTACATAAGGGTGGTGACCTGGTTTGAGCCCTAGAACCCAATAAAGATGGGAGGAGAAAACTGACTCCTGACCCCTGAGGGTGATTGATTGACCTCCACATTTTCTCTAGTAAGAAAAAAAAAAAAAAAAAAAAAAAAAAGATTAAAAAATAAAGGTGGTGTCCCATCCAAGTACTAACCAGGGCCAGCCTGATCTACAAAGTGAGTTCCAGGATAGCAGGGCCACACAGAGAAACCCTGTCTTACATAAACCAAGATAAATAAATAAATAATAAAGGAAAAGAAGGTGGACAGTGATTGAGGAAGTTGCTAGGCATTGACCTCTGACCTCCACAGGTATGAGCACATGCACCCATGCACATAAAAAATGACAAGTAGAATTTCTCAGAATTGTCCATAACTGTCCTGGTGTCACACTGCAGATATTTCTGAGGTTATGAAATTGTCACACTGGTGAGGGCTGGGGCCGTGTACCATTTGCCTCCAAGACACTCAAGCTGGGGTTTCTTATCCCCACTACACAGAGAAAGAAACTGAGGTAGGGTGGAGGGAGGCATCTTGTCTAGGTCTCAGACAGCCTAGTTTGGTCCCCTTCCCCTTCATTCCCAAACAAAGCAACAAGTAACAGTGTCAGCTGCTAGTGACACAAAGTCCTGGGGCGTGAGGAAGTGTGCTGTCAGCCAAGGATTACCTGGCCTTAGTCACAATGAACACTTATTCCAAGTGCCAGCCCCACCTGAGCTCCTCTGAGGAGCAAGGCTAGTCACACTTCTTCCTGCCAGAACAGCTACTCCATGGGCTGGATGAGGCTGCCGGGGAGAGTGGCCCAGGCACTTGGACATGGACATGGCTGGGAGGAGCAGGGAGAATTCCCAGAGTCCTGCTCAGGACCAGGTTACTTACTGCCCCGCTGCCCTGTCTGGCTCCCCCTGCCCCACGGCTATCACTTCCTACCCACAGCCTTGCCCAGGCCACTCACCTGATGGGCAGTAGTTGGAGGGAGCTGTGAGCCTGGGTTGGCAGGACACTCAGAGGAACTTGATCAGAGTGAGGGACTTGGTCACGGTGACCGGCTGCTGGGACAGGATGCCCATTAGACCTGGGGATCCCAGAGGCTGTGAGAGGCTCAAGGCTAGCAGGGGTATTTCACTGCAGGGCTGGGAGGAGGCGGAGGCAGGGGCGGGGCCAGGAAAATCACTTTCATAAGCGTGAGTCAGCAGGGGCCCCTGGGTGAATGAACTTGCCCCTGGCCAGCCTTAAAGGGCCCCTGCTGGTCAGCCCCCTTTCTGGGCTCAATCTGAAGGAGGAACTGTGACCCTTGAAAGAGATCACCTGGTCTCTTCCCTATGGCCCCTGAAGTACCGGGTGCAGCTAGCTCTTCTACCAGGGTCTATCCGCTTTGGTGGTGGTAGTGGTGCGGGAGCAGAAAAAAGTCCTCAGGCACCAGCCTGACCCCTGGTAATCCCTACTCTGCAATTTCTTGGTTGGAGGCTCTGGACAAACCTCAGTTTCCCTATCTGAAAAATGGGTTTGAGCCTGATTCCTTCCTGGGCTGGGTGTGTGTGGGTCAGGGGGTTGTGTGGCATCATCCTGGTCCTCATAGACTTCCTTTCCTGTGAGGGGGTCACACCACCTGCTGAACTATTCTTAAATTCGCTGAATGGAAGCTTGGTCCTGGGGTGGCATTGTTTGCTGCTTACTCGGTGGGGGAATATCACTCCCCACACCAGTATTCAGTGTTTGCTCAACAGAAGGAAGTTGGGTAAGGGTTTAGGTCCCTGTAGACCTTAGTGGCTATTACCTGTTCCTGTCATTATCAGCTGTCACCCTCATAGTCCTCTCTGCCACCAGGACCAGGACTGGGGGGTGTGTGTCAGGCTCTTGCTCTAAGAACCAACTTTAAGAGAAACTCCACACACTAATCAAGAAGGTGACACTTAGGCGCAATTTTCTAAAAAAGAAAAGAAAAAAATTAAAAAGATGAATACAAACGTCAGATAAAGAACCCTTCAGTTGTAAAGAAAGACAGGTCCTTAGGCCCACCTTGTGGGGCAACCTCCAGCTGGGACAGTCTTGGCTGCTAGAACACATTTTTATTTAAAAATTTGATACTTTGTTTTCCTTGCTTAAAAAAATTATTATTTAAAATGCTGCTTATAGGCACAGGGAAGTAGTTCAGTAGAATCCGTGCCTAGCATTGCATGAGATCCTATGTTAAAGCCCCAGTGCCCCCCCCAAAAAAAAACCTTCCACAAAACTCTGCATGCAATCATATGCATATGTTCAAACCTGGGCTTAGGCTGGGAGATGGCTCGGTGGCAGAACACTGGCCTAGCATGCTCAAAGCCCTTGATTCAATCCCCAGTATTGCTACACACACACACACACACACACACACACACACACACACACACACGCCTACCACACATCACACACATACAACCACACAAACACACACATACTACATATCACACAATACACACCACACATCACACACATACACACACCACACCCCTACCATACACCACACATACACCAACCACACAGGTACACACACATACACACACACACACACCCAAACACACACACTCTTACCATACACCACACACACCCACCAACCACACAGGTGCGCATGCACGCGCGCACACACACACACACACACACGCAAACACACACACCCCTACCATACACCACACACACATACACACATACACACATACATACACACAGACACATACCCCCCACACACCACACACACATCTCTGAGCCCTAGTTTGCAATAGCAGTCTCAATAGGAGAGTCTTCCCCAAGGAATACATGGTGCCAAACCACCACCTGGCAGAGGGGCACCTCTTGTAGGGGTGATGTAGAGGGAGAGCATCCTGGGTAAACAGGTAGGAGGCAGTGGTGGGGTGAGTACTGCTGGCTGCTGACCTGGGTTTAGGGGAGAGGCCAGGTACTTGCAGCCACAGCCCAGGTATCAGTTCATGGACGCCTTCCTCCTCTTCCTGCCTGGCTTCCTCCTCCTGTAATTTATGCTTAGGGCCCTGTGATCTGAACTTTGGTTTAAAGTTCTGGTGTCTTCCTTAAAATTCTTGGTCATGCATTCTTCATTTTCCAATTGCACTAGGCCAAGTAGCCTCCCCCAACCTGAGTGGGAGCGGCCTTGGGAGGAGCTGTTGAGACACTCCCCTCAGAGGGTTAGTTTACCCAGGCCTAAACCATTGGACCAGGTAGTACAAGCTTCAGAGAGTCCCTGCTATAGGCCTCAGCTCAGTGCAGGTGTGCTCTGTGGCCTGGGCTGAGGGAAACCCCCTCTCCGCACCTCTGCAGTCTCCAAGTGTATTTCCCACACATCAGGACCCGGAGCAGGCTCTGAACTCAGCGAGAGCTGGAGCACAGTTGCCCGGCACAGGTCTGCCACTGGGTCTGGCTCCATCCCATCTTGACTTTCACATCCCACAGTGCTTGGCTGCAACTTGCCCATGCTTTTGGCTATGTAAACTGAGGCAAAGAGGGCATGTACCCAGGGTCAGGGTCTCCTGGGTATTGGAGACTAGAGGCAGCCAGAGGCCAGAAACTGGAAAGCCAGGAAAGAGGGACTGGCCTTTCTCCAGGCTGGCTCCGCCCATGGTCCTGGCCTCTTACTGGAGTTGGCTGATAGGCACCTTGTGGACTGGACTTTCTCCTCCTTCCTTGTTTACCTGTCCAGCAGTTATCAGCAGCAGAACCATTGAGATGAAGATAAATACAGATGCCAGAGAAAGCAGGCCAAAGGGCACTGTCTGCAGGTGCAGAGGGGACCAGTGTAGCCAGCAAGCTGACAAGCATGGTGGGCCTGACCCTCGGAGCTCCTGGGGGTACCTGGGTCCCTAACAGTCCTCCCTACTTGGGAAGGCAAGCAGGTTTGCCAGCAAATACACGCAGGCTCCTGGGAAACTCGAACTTCGGACTTGTAAGAAATGAGCCTTTAGGACAGGTGCATCCTGGGAGGCCCTCTTACATGAAAAGCTGAGATTCAGCCTGCTCAGGGAACTTGTCTTCTGTTCTGTAATTCTGGCTATAAAATGGGCCTAAGGCAATCACAGCCTAAAGAGGGAACAAAGGCACTGGGTGGAGAGGGCTGGGGGAGGTGGTTTGTTTTGCATACAAGAGGGTCTAAGGTCAGTTCCATGGCATCCGCAGAAAAAGCTCTACTTGGTGATACATACCTGCAATCCCAGCACTGCGGTGGCAAAGACAGGTGGATCCTGGGGGCACTTGTTGGTCAGCCAGGCTTGCTGAATGCCTAGCTCCAGGCTCAGTGAGAGATTCTGTCTCAAAGAACAAGGTGGAGAGCAATGGAAAAAGACATTTGATGCTGACTTCTGGCCTCCATACAAGTACACACATGTGCATGTACTCGTGCACCCCATCCACCAACTGGGTAGTGTTGTCAATACTTATTTTGATTTCATGTAGGCTGTGGGTCAAACCCATGGCTTTGCAGATGTTAAGCATACATCTACCCCTGAGTGCATGCCCGCCCTGGAATGTATGTTAGTGCAAACAGGGAATGCTGGGGCTGTAGTTCAGTGCTTGCCTAGTGCACTGGGCGCTTGGCTTCTACCCCCAGAGGCACAGGAGAAACTCCCACATAAAATCAGTAAGGTAAACATTTGCACACAGGCGATGTCTCTAAGTAGAATAAGCCTCATCCCCGTCCTTTCCCTCAGTGCATCTCTCCTGTTCTGGGCTCCTGCTGCGTGTACCTCAGACATCACTAGGCTCTGGTGTCAGACCTGGGGCCCGACACCCAGTCAGTCCCAGGACCCATTAACCAGGAGTGTGAGCCACTTGGAACAAGACAAGGGGCTGGGCAGAGTGACCTCTGGGACTCAGTTTCCCTGATGAGTACCACTGCAGCCATCATGGGGCTTTCGAGGTTGCAAGGTGGATGTGAGCCGAGGGAAAAGCCTGTGGTGAGTGAGGAGCTTGGGGCTTGCTCGTCACTCCTGCAGACTTATACCATTTCTCTCTCGCTGGCCTTTCCCAGAACTACTCAGCAGGCCCTCCCTCCATCCAGCTTCATCCCTAAGTCACCGTGAATAGATAGTTCTTTATACAAGGCTGCTACTTGGAGAAGTTCATCTCAAGCCCAGGCTCATACAACATGAATGGAGGCAGAACTGGGTATTTCCAAGGAAAGGCTGGCACTGAATGAAGTAGTGACTCTCAACCTGTGGGTCTCGATCCCCACTGGGCCCCGAATAGCAGATATTTATGTTATGACTCATAACTGTGGCAAAATTACAATTATGAAGTAGCAATGCAGTAATTTTATGGCTAGGGGTCACCACAGCTTGAGGAGCTGTATTGAAGGGTCACACAGCATGAGGAAGGTCGAGAAGCACTGAAATAAAGAAATGGTCCCTCAGGTGGGTGAGCAGGGCTATGCTCACTTGCTAGCTGCCACACTCCCGGTGGGTTCAGGGTGGTCCCATCTGCACACCAGCCCAGCAATGGGAGCATTATTCTACTTAATCCCCAGTGAAGAAGCTGAGGCCCTGAGCAAATGGAAGCCTCAGCTGGGACAGAGCTGGGTCTGTGACCCCACCTAGGTTAGGGCTCTGGCACAAAGAGCCCAGGCCCTTCCGACACATGACACACAAATATTTGTTCAGGCTTACAACGTCCATGGCCTTGACCCTCAAATTCACCAGTCTCTTCAGCAGCCCAGAGATGGCCAGATATGTTAGCAATGACTAGTTTACAGATAAAGAAGCCCATAGGAGCTTCACAAGCCAGGAGCGGGGTGAGGGCCTTCCACTATAGCCTGGTCTGCCAACAAAGCTCTGTGTGATACCTGGGACCCAGTGTGGGTGGCTAGTACCTGCCTGTGCCAGTCTACTTAGGGGTCAGCACTGTGGGGCCCTAGGGAGATTGACAAAGATGGGGACCCATGACCCCCATGAAGGAAAAGGAGAGAGGCTGAGTCCCATGGAGGCTGTGCATACAGGGAGGAAGCTGGGAGGTTCCAGGGCCCTGCGCCAGTAGCTTCCTCTACTTGCCTGGTTCCTTCTTCTTTCCCTTAAACAGTGAGGGAACAAACAGGAAAGTGAGGGCATTTGCTCTAGGGTCCAGCCCAGGTGTTCAAAAGCCTTCCATTGTGGCCTCAGGATTCTGGTTCCATCCGTTCAAGTCACGTGACCTCATGAGGCACGAGGCTTCACCTCTCTGATCGATCCTACCTGTGAGATGGTAGACCACTCCAGTCATGTTCCTTTTTGCAGTCACGTGGAGAAACTCAGCGGCAAGCTCAGACTCTCTGGCCACCACAGCTTAACTGGGGGCAGTGCTATCAGACCCAGGAGCTCACTCCCAGAGCTCCAGGGTCCTCCTGCCTCAGGCCTGGGTTTCAGGGAAGAACTACAGTTTAGCAGTCATTAGGGTGGTGGTCACACATATACCAGACCCCTGCTCCTGCAGTCCACCTCTTTGCCAACCACAGGAAGTCACAGGGTCTAAAAGAAAGGCATTTTTTTCTGTGAGCTAGGCCAGCTGGGCACTAGGGTCAAGGGGTCATTCCCGGTCTCAGGGAAAGTCCCAAGAACTGCTTGGTTTTCCTGACAAAGAATTCTGAACTCACAGAGAGCTTATGTTCACCTTGGATCTTATCATTATGGGCAGTCCTAATCAGAAAAGGCAGTGATCCCTGGGGAGCTTTGGTTACACCACTGAGAGAAAACACTGCATGCTATTTCCCCAGCTACCTATTGGGAACAGGTCAGTTACCACTTGGCTGTGCCCAGATGTCAGTACCTTGCAGCTGTTAAAAATGCAAGCATAGAGGTAGCAGCAGCGGCTGTGTTGGCCACAGCAGTGAGAGGAGAGCATGGAACTGCACTGATACCGGGTCCCACAGGTCAAGCAGGGAGGAGAGCAGCTGGCTGGATTGCTGGTATCAGCGCCTCCTAGATGGGTACCTTTGGCTTTGGCTTGTTCAGCATGAGGATGGAACCCAGAGTCTCACCATGCTGGACAAGTATCCCACCGCTGAGCCATATTCCAGCCCTCTTTTCAAACTTTGTTTTGAGATAGGGTTTCACTAAGTTGCCTTGGACTTAGAATCTTCCTGACTCAGTCTCTTTAGTTGCTGAGATCACAGGACTGTGACCAGGCCCAAACATACTTTTTTTTTTTTTCCCTAAATAGATTTTTAAAACAAAAGCAATTTGGCCAGAGAAATATTTTCTGCCCTTCAATTAGATCCATTCATGCAGTGAGTCTCACCTGCCCAGCAAATAATCAAATGTCCATTGAATAAATTGAGTGAACCTTGCTCATCTGGCCCTCGCTCTTTTTTTTTTTTTTTTTTTTTTTTTTTTTAATGTAAACCAGGCTGACTTGCTGTGTAGACAAGGAAAACCTTGAACTCACGATCTTCCTGTCTCCATCTCCTGAGTACTGGGATCACAGGCATGTATCACCAATGTTGTTTTTGCAATGCTGGGGAGGGAACCCAGGCTGCATGTATGCTAGTCAAGCATGCTACCAACTGAGCCACATCCCTAGAAGTCTTGTGGCTTTCTGGCCTTTCTGGTTGATTGCTGGAACATTCTGGAGTATGAATGACCCTATTGGTGCCACACCACATGCTCCTGATTGTCATGTTGCCAGTGATTAAATCTTTGGCAACAATTCTGGATTGGCCAAAGATGAAGACAGCCCTGCAGCAAACCCACGAGACCCTTCCTTCAGGAAGGACAGCTCTGTTGTAGCTGCAGGAGAGTGGAAAGATTTGTCCATGAAGTCTGGGCTACGTCTTGCCTCTGTTCTTGTTAGCAGTGCACACTTGGACAGGCCACTTTTCTGAACCTCCATGTCCTTATGTCCTCATCTACAAGGCAGGGGTGGCAATGCCTGCTGCCCACTGTGTTGAGTTTCTGGCTGGCACACTGCAGGTCCTCAGTAGAGGGTAGACCCCCCTCCCCTCCACTCACCCCATTCTGACTCACTGTGTGCCCACCATTCCCAAAACCTAGCCTTGTCAGCCCCAGGACTCCCAGGACTGCCTTCTCCCAGCAGGTTAGCAGGCCCAGGGAAGCCCAGACACTCACATGGTTCTAAGCCTTCTTGACAGTTCTGATGCTCAATAGCACTTCAGAGCCACAGCTATTCCTGTGAGACCTCTACCACAGGCCTCAGTCTGTGACAAACTGCAAAAGAGTGACAACTGCCTGACTGAGTCACTCTGGGGACATGGGCAAGGCCTTAGGATGACAGCTCCTTAAACTGGCCATGGAAAGGAATTCTGTTGGAAGAGGTATATGTCTCCAGGCCTGGAGTTTCAGCACAGGCCTCCCACCTCACTGGCCCTTGTCCTTGAGGGTCTTGTTATATGTGATTCATCAGAGGGATCAGTGGCTATTGGGGTGTGTGTGTGTGAAGATCCAGGTACCCTGCTAGCTGGTGGCTGCTTTGCAAATGAGGGGTCTGCAGACCTTAGGCTCCTGGCTGTCTGACCAGCATCTTCCCATTTCCATTTCTAGCTAACAGACTGTGACCTGCTCAAGTTCATTGCCCGGAGAGTTCCAGGAAGCTGGGCCATCGAGCTGTTTGCTCTCTGACCCACACAACTGCTGCCCATTGGTCCCCTTCTTGTTTTGGTCTTATGTATGGTAATTAAATTCAGTGTGTTGTTTGTTGCTTTTATCAGACTCTATAAACCCCCACAGACCTTCCTTTCAGGGCAGGTAAGGGCATTGACCTGCAGAAGATCACAGAGAGGGTTGGAATTAGTTCTAGGGCCTTTCTCATCTCTACAGAAGAGCTTCAGTGCCAAGCACTGGAATGGCGTAGGACAGTGGCTCTGGGCTTCAGGCTCCTGTGGCAGACAGGATGTGGAAAGCAAGAGAGGCTATCTCAGCCAGGCAGTGGTGGCTTTAATCCCAGCACTCAGAAGAGACAGGCAGATCTCTGTGAGTTTGAGGCCAGCCTGGTCTACATAGTGAGTTCTAGGACTACACAAAGAAACCCTGTCTCAACAAAACAAAACAACAACAAAAAGAGACTTATCCCTTCGTATTCTCCCCCACTTAGACCCTGCTGACCTCCAGGCATCCCTGTTGTCCTGGACTACCTCTAGCTCAGTAGTGATAGCTGACAGTCCACAGCATGTGACATAGACACCTACCCATAATGCTCAAGGCTCTCTTGAGTGAGGTGGGCACTCTGTCTGCATCCTTCTGCTGTTCCTGCCTCCCAAACTCTGCCTGGACATACTTCTCTGGATCCATCTCTGCTTCTCCTGTTGGGATAAGCAGGGACAGCC